GTCGATAGTCCGCGTGGAGAGTCGCGCGCGCGGGGGGGCGGTGGCGGGTGTGTGTGTGTGTGTGTGTGTGTGTGTGTGTGTGTGTGTGTGTGTGTGTATTCCAGGCAGCCAGGGAGCCCTGCGGGATCCTGCTGTGAGCAGTGTGGACCGGAACCTAATTCCAGGACCGTTATCTAGTCCGGTTATCTTAAGCATCTCAGAATCATCTTTGTCCCTAAGAGCCTGACTCTGCCATCGTCTTGTGCCCCTGGGCAGGGTGTGGAGCCTTTCCCCAGACCGTGCATTCCTGCAGTGTCAGAACCGTTGGCCGAGGCTGCAGTTGCTGGGGGAGCGATTGTTTTGCGACAGAGCTGGTTGGAGAAAGGGCGAGTGTGGTGGAAAGGAGTGGTGTGTGTGAGGACGCGTTGTCGTCGTCCGAGCCCAGGACTCTGCAAACCCGGGGCTCAGCTGAGTGGGTGTTACACAACCCTCTCTCTCTTCTGCCCCATCGCCTTTCCCTTTGCACCCTGCCTCCCGACACACTCTTGCTTCCTTTCCAGCGTGCAGGTCTTATTTGGCAAAGGGACAGTGGAGTGTGTGTAGGCCTGCGTGGAATGAGCTTGGCTTCCTCCGAGCACCAGCCATTGTGCAATCCTCAGGAGCCTTTCTTTACCCTAACAGAAGGGGGAGAGGGGATCTGAGATGGAGGTGAATGGAACAGCAGCAGGAACCGGGAAGGGTATGGTAGCTCTGTGAAAGGGTTGCTGATCCATGTGCACTAAGTATTTACTCCTGGCAAAATGGACAGCTTACACTGACTGGGTTTTGCAGAGGAGCAATGGGAATCTGAAAGTGGCTAAGCCATTTTAGGTAGGGGGAGCACAGAATCTTTTGGTCTATGGTACAAGTGATGGAAGAACAGGGAGATGGAATGGGGCTTGTATGGCTGTGCAGAGATGCCCAGCTGGGGAGGCATGGTGAAATCTCTGCCATCCACCATTCACTCAGCTCAGCTAAGCAGGGCCTGGTGTTTGTACTGCAGCCCCAAGCTGCCACTTCTGCACCATTAGGCTGCAGAGTGTTTACTGTGTCTCTATTGCACTCCATGCATGCATTTCTTTTCCAAATTACACCATCTATTGGGAGTCAGAATAAATGGAATACACATGATATAATCAAACTATATTGTACTGTGCTCTATGATACTCTCCCATAATTTCTTCTTTCTGCTATTTTTCATATTCTTACTTTGGAAGTCCAAAGAAGATGGCTATTTGTATCAGTAGTAACTTTTGGGGGAAGGAGTTGAAGACAGAAACCCAAGTCTCACACATGTTAAGAAGGTGCTCTGTCACTGAGTTGCACCTCTAGACCAACTTAACACCAGTTTTTAAGGGAGGAAGACCTAGAGAGAAGCTATGACTGAGGATCTGGCAATCCTGCCAGGATGGAAGAATGGAGGATTGTTTCAGACATTTTATAGGGAAATGAAGGCAGCCCAGCTAAAGGAGGAAGGTAGGGGACTCCATGGCAAGAATGTGTCAACACCAACCCAGAGACCCCCTCCTTGAGGCTATAGTAGTGCCAGTCAGAATGCTTGACTCATTTCCTCTGCCACAACCTAAGGTACAAATGCTCTGTTCAGTGTGGGTACTGAGTTAATACAGATTCCCAGTTTGTGTTCTTAGTTTTACATCATCTGTGATCATTCATGTGGTGCTTCTTGGCTCCTGGGTAGTGGGCTGATGAAAATCAATCAGGCTATAGTATGAATTGCTTCAACTAACCGTGTTTCTGGATTCTAGACCTTGATTTTGTTTCTTCTGTAATCTTCTTTAAAGGATTTTATTTATTATTATTGTGTGTGTATATGATGTTTGCATGTGAGTGTGGGCATATACATGACACAGCATGTGTGTGACAGTCAGAAGACAACTCACTGGAGTCAGTTTCCTCTTTGTAGTGTGGGTTCTGGGGATGGAACTCAGGTTGGGCTTGCACAACAAGCACTTTTACCTGCTGAGCCATCTGGCATGCCCGTTTCTTCTTTTTTAATCTTGTAGATCAATCTCTTTTTTTTCTCAAGCTTGTCTGGGTCAAATATAGGCACTTTCTGTATGATCTCCCTATTGCCGACATTCAAAACTCAGACTGTTTATTTGTTTGCTTGCTTGTTTGAGACAGGGTTTCATGTAGCCCAAGCTGGCCTGGAACTTGCTGTGTAATCAAGGATGACCTTGAACTCTCGATTCTCCTGCCACCACTTTTGGAGGGTTGTGGGATTACAGGTGTGCATCACCACACATAGCTCAAAACTGTCTTCGTCCTAGATTCTAGTTGATTGGCTTTTGTTGGTGGCAAATAGTGTTAACTGTGCCATCTTGAACCAGCACCTCTGCTACAATTAGCTTCTCTCCACAATGGGACCAATGATCCAGGAAACTTTGACTGAAAAAAGCCTTTGTGAAAAAGATGCTCAAATTCCTTCAGCATTTTCCTCTCATTTGATAAGCATTTTGATGCACCATACACAGACCATCTTGGTAGGGGTAATTTTTCTTTTGTCTGAAACATGCTTACTCATGCTTTCATGTGAGTAAGTTGTCCTGATTTTCTTAGGAAAGTAAAGTAACTCAATGTAAGAATTATTTAAACTTTATTATTTTTATTTTGAGTGTTTTGCCTGCATGTATGTAGTGCACCATGTGTGCAATACCCATGGAGGCCAGAAGAGAGCATCTGATCCCCAGACACTGGAGTTATGGATGGTTCTTAACTACCTGTGGATGCTGGGAACTGAATCTTGGTCCTCTACAAGAGCAGCCAGTGTAAGCACAAATATCATTTTGTAGATGAGGAAATTGGGGCACAAGGAGGCAAATAATTTGCCTGAATTCTCATAACTGGAGTCCTAAGACCAGGATAGGAGCTTGAAATCTGGGCTCTTAGCTGTCAGAGTACACTCTCAATTATCACAAATTCCAGGCTGCAAAACCTTCCCTACTTTTTTGTTGTGCCCTGAGATCTCAATATCTCTGTCTCTCTGTCTCTGTCTCTCATTTCTTTTAAAAAATATTTACTATTTTTATTTTTTGTGTATAAATGTATTGCCTGCATGTATGTAAGTGCACCCGTATCATGCAATGCCCTAAGATGTCAGAAGAGGGTGTCACATCCCCTGGAACTGGAGTTACAGATGGTTGTTAGTCGCCATATGGGTGCTGGAAATCGAACCCAGGACCTCTGCAAAAACAGCCAGTGCTCTTTCTATTTTTGTTTGTTTTTGTTTGTTTGTTTTGTTTTGTTTTAACTTCAAGGTTTTATTGTGCAACACCTTTGCCTGTCCACCCAAACTTTTAAAGTGTTATTACTTTGAGATTCCTGGTAACTTCCATCATGATCTAGGAAAACTGCTTTCGCCCCTTAAACGCATACATCATTAACACATACATCATTATTTACAGAATTCAGTTTTACGCTGATGGTGAACATTTTACTAGACTGTATCACTAAAATAGCTTTAATTTTTTCCTTCTTAAATGTCTTTATAAATATCTTCACTGTCCCAGTGACTTCTTTTAATTTATTGGTATACATAATGTCTTTATCCTTCTTGGGATTTTCTGCATCTTTCTTGGCACCTTGAGTTCCTCTGGGCTCAGATTCATTGTCCAAAGCGGCTCCTCTGGGCTGCTCTCCAGTCTTTCGAGATCTCAGACACCTGACTCTTTGTTAGGATTTCTACACTTTCTCCCTTGTTTTCTCATTGGACAATCTCCCTCTGTCCTCTAGACCTCAAACATACCTCTCTCTGTGTCTCTTTCATTCTATTTTTTGCCTTTCTTCATTAGGAAATTGTTTTATTTTTAATTATGTATATATGTGTGACTGTATGGGGGGGTCTACGCACATGAGTGCAGGTACTAGCAGATACCAGAGGAAGAGGCCAGAGGTGTTGAATCCCCTGGAGCTGGGGTTACAGGTGACTGAGAGCTGCTCAACATGAATGTTGAGAACGGAACTCAGGTTCTCTGTAAGAGCAGTACCCATTCTTAACCACTGAGTCATCTCTCCAGCCCCTTTCTTTCTTTTTTGACATGATTTTATGCCTCCCAGGCTGGCCTCAAACATATTTGAGGAGGACCTTGATCCTCCTGCCTCTATATCTAGAGTGCTAGGATACAGACACGTGCCATCATGTTTAGTTTATGCAGTATTGAGGATGAACTTGGCATTGTGTATGCTGGCCAAGCACTTAACCAACTGAATAACATCTCTAACCCCCATTTTCTCTGCTTTTTAAAATTAATTTTAAATTTACTTATTTATTTATTTGGGATGTGGGCATGCATGCCATAGCTTTCCTGTGGAGGTCAAAGGGTAATTTTCAGGAGTTACTTCTCTCCTTCCATCATGTGGGTCCAGGGAATCAAACTTAAGTGTCCAGGGTTAATAGCAAGCTCCCTTACCTACTGAGTCATCTTGCTGGCCCTGTTTTATTTGTTTGTTTGTTTTTTGTTGTTGTTGGGTTTTTTTTATTGTTGTTACTGTTTTTTGGTCTTTTTGAGACAAGGCTTCTCTGTAACCTCAGCTGGCCTGGAACTCACTATGTAGACCAGGCTGGCCTTG